ATTTTCTTCCCCCCCCCCCCCCCCCCTCCCTCCCTCTCCCCCTTTATTTTTGCGAGTTCAAATATATCATATGCATTAACAATTATTTTGAGCTCTGTTGTTCCTTGTGAGACACATAAGCTACTTAGCTACACATTTATTTTATGTATCTTATCTTTCTTCGAAAAATGATTTATAGGCTCTTAGACAAGCCTTGCCTAAGTGTGTTGATATCTATGCATCAAATTATGTTCTTTGTGAATATGCACTAATTTTCACAGTTTCACGTGACTTATATATTGCTTCCGGATATACATGCTATTCTCCTGCTATCGAATTATGAGAACTATTACTCGTTCTTTGCAAGTACCAACTCTCTAAGTAATCATTTGTTTATGGGTGAATTGTAGTCGATAAAACCTAAAGCACTTGTTCCATTGTTAATGAGTTTAGCAATTAATTACACAAATTTACTGTTCAGGCATACTCCTGCAGATGCCCCTTCTTTAATCATGCGGATGTCTATATAACATGACACATATTCAATATATGTTATGCCAATAGAACTCGTGTTTTCCACCCATGTACAAAGTTGCATGATAGCCATTCTTGTTCAGTGTGTAATGTAAGAAGTTGTGCATTTATACAGCATTTACATTATTTTCGCACTGCATATACTGGTCATGAGTTAGAAAGCAACCTTTTAGTAGCACTAAAAGAAGGCTTGGTCCATGACAATTTGCCATATTGCACTTGTTACCCTAAGTAATCTAATATGTTGGCACTAAATAGATAATTTACCTTCTCTTTATGCTTTTTTAGAAATATTCCAGTCCAATTGATAATTAGAACATAAAAGCGAGAACTGCGATTTATGGTTGCTCACCTTTTCATGAAAGGAGAACCACAGTACTGGACTATAACTGAAACCAGGGCTGTCTTCATAATGTTTCTTATTCTCCCTTCCTTTCCAACTTCTGTTTTCCTCAGCTGCTGGTGCCTGGCTCTATATTCTACCTTAAATCAATTATTTCCTCAGAGTGGCAACAATGCTGCAGTAGATATTACTCTTGCAGGAAATAATGCACATTAATAGCAGCGCTTTCAAAATAGAAGTTGTTTGTTTTGTTTGTGGTCTTTACTGTAGATAGCTCTGAGTATTACTTGTTCTCTCGTCATTGATCAGGTAACCAAACTGTAGTTTAGTAATTAAATGTTGATAAAATGATTTATATGCTCTTAGACAAGCCTTGCCTAAGTGTGTTGATATCTATGCATCAAATTACGTTCTTTGTGAATATGCACTAATTTTCACAGTTTCACGTGACTTATATATTGCTTCCGGATATACATGCTATTCTCCTGCTATCGAATTATGAGAACTATTACTCGTTCTTTGCAAGTACCAACTCTCTAAGTAATCATTTGTTTATGGGTGAATTGTAGTCGATAAAACCTAAAGCACTTGTTCCATTGTTAATGAGTTTAGCAATTAATTACACAAATTTACTGTTCAGGCATACTCCTGCAGATGCCCCTTCTTTAATCATGCGGATGTCTATATAACATGACACATATTCAATATATGTTATGCCAATAGAACTCGTGTTTTCCACCCATGTACAAAGTTGCATGATAGCCATTCTTGTTCAGTGTGTAATGTAAGAAGTCGCGCATTTATACAGCATTTACATTATTTTCGCACTGCATATACTGGTCATGAGTTAGAAAGCAACCTTTTAGTAGCACTAAAAGAAGGCTTGGTCCATGACAATTTGCCATATTGCACTTGTTACCCTAAGTAATCTAATATGTTGGCACTAAATAGATAATTTACCTTCTCTTTATGCTTTTTTAGAAATATTCCAGTCCAATTGATAATTAGAACATAAAAGCGAGAACTGCGATTTATGGTTGCTCACCTTTTCATGAAAGGAGAACCACAGTACTGGACTATAACTGAAACCAGGGCTGTCTTCATAATGTTTCTTATTCTCCCTTCCTTTCCAACTTCTGTTTTCCTCAGCTGCTGGTGCCTGGCTCTATATTCTACCTTAAATCAATTATTTCCTCAGAGTGGCAACAATGCTGCAGTAGATATTACTCTTGCAGGAAATAATGCACATTAATAGCAGCGCTTTCAAAATAGAAGTTGTTTGTTTTGTTTGTGGTCTTTACTGTAGATAGCTCTGAGTATTACTTGTTCTCTCGTCATTGATCAGGTAACCAAACTGTAGTTTAGTAATTAAATGTTGATATTTAGTCCAAGAGAACACGATTTTACAGCTGACGAGAAGGTTTGGTGCTATTATATGCAGATGGAGTTGGGCTTGTTGAACCATTCCATTTAAAAATTTAAACTCGTAAATATCATCCATTATGCTCCCTCTGCATACAAATAGTCATTTAAATTCAAAATGCCTCACGGGGGATTTTATATTATGGGGTGTAGTGCACCTCGAATCCAATTCTTATGTCATACTCTAGTACTATGTTAAACCACATCATCTAAACGCTTCAACTATGAGAAAGAATGAATTTATTTATTTATATATCTATATCTCTAATAAACAATCTTTTGATTGCCCAACTAATATGCGGCTTCTTCTTGATTAGCAATTGAAAGAAGACCAAAGCTAGGACCTATGCTATGCTGCATAATATCAACAACAGGATTTGCTGCATGGACTATTTTGAATGTAATGCCGCTTAATGCCAATCGTCATTTTGTCGAGCTTGTTGAAATGATATGACTAGATATTTGCATATCTTGATATCCTCCAGGCAATCTAGTTGCCCAATCACTATTTTGAATCTGTTCAGGCAACTCGTCCTGAATCTAGTCTGTTTTGAACTCCATTGTCCTGTTGGTCTGCTTGCAATCAACACCATCTAATTGAATTAATGTTACTTGTTTAAATTTATTGGATAATGGGCCGCATTGCCAAATATTGAGAATGTATAGCAATGTAAACCGGCCTGCCTTGGAACTGCTCGGCGTTGCAGTCTTTTTTCAGATTCCTGAGCCGATCTTTTGGCCTGGTTACTGCCCACAGGGGACAAGGCCTTCTTCTCCGGTCACAGCCTCTCCAGCTCTTTCTTAAATGAAGGCTTGGAACCCTATACCTATACAAGGGGCTGGTCTTGATCCTGTTTGGTGGTGCGACCGCAAAACCTTCAATTTCACCTCTTGAATGTTATATTAAAGGTCCAGAGAGGCACGAAGTCCAACGTCAGGTATTGCAAAGGTAATATCTTCTGTACCGTTGGCATTTTAACTGTTATAACTGTCATTTAATGCTTGTCGAAAACAGAAATTGGCGATTGCATAGGCTAATCTGGCATATGTCGGGAGGAGCTGAAGCATCAGGTTTGAAGGAAAAACGGCTGGCTTTGCTTGGAGTCGATGACATTAACATTTTTAAAGGTGTCAATTTTAGCCATGGCGTACATGCTCAAGAAAGTATCCAAATTGGCAGGGACTGCTGATAATATGACAGAATCTTATAATTATTGATCTAAACAAACCAATTCAGTAAGACACTACTTTAATATTTTGAATTTTTCTATAAGAAATTGGATTTAATAATATCTTTTGTAAGTGTAAACGAATAATCATTTTCTACTTAGAAGCAGTTGAGGGAAAACTCATTCTTTCAAGTACTTCGCCCATTTTATCGTCTAAACATGGAACACCAATATGATTGATATGCTGAACTGTACAAAATTGAAGATGCAATGTAAGAGTTGGATTCGGCACATTTTTAGTTCTTTGGTCATTTCAAGTACCGTGGACCCTATAACTTCTTTGTTCCGTGTAACGGCATGAGAAAATTTCAAGCAGTTGAAATTGGACAAGTCTTGGTATACATAAAATGTGTACATGAGAGTGATGAGGCGGGTCCCACCTACCATGTGAGGGGGGTGCGAACACCCTTATGTAGTAAACCAAGCACAATCCTATCATGTCCCAAAAAAATATATTACTCTTCTTGATTCCGGCAAGACTAAGTAAGTTGTGCAATGACTCAGGCTAGAGCCCCGCCATAAATAGCATTTGAATCTTGATGAGTTCTTGTTTCGTACGAAAATTCTGTTTCCAGTTCATCCAAACTGACGCAATTAACAAGACCGATACAAAGTCTATTCGGGACAGGGTTAAAGAATAAAAAATGAGAGATAACAAGAAAGAAAAGAGAAAGCAGGTGTCTTCATTCCCCTCGAACCTATATTCTAACACCCCAAGTAAGCATGTATTCCATCATCCCATTTCAACAAAGAATGAAACAAATCCAAACAAAACAAAGAAACCCGACTAAATTTTTAGACGGTGATATCAGATTCATTGTCAGATGAGACTGGAGAATCAGAAGCTTCAGCAACAGATTCAAGCATGCTTACCACCTCAGATGTATCGTCCAAATAATATTTGGCTTTGCTGGGTTTCTGACCTACTGTACAAGCAAATACTTGTGTGTTGTAGGGAAGACTTCGTCTTGACACTGCAGAACCAATTATTTCAAACATATCCTCATCAGATCTGTCATCCCCAATGCACAGCACGAAATCAGCCTGTTTCCCCTTCTCTGCCATTGATGAGAAGATTTTTTCTGCAACTATTCCTTTGCTAACACCCTGGAAGGAAATAAGAAATGGAAGACTTCATTTTGTTAATGGAGTTGCCAGGCAATCAAAATCAATATTTGTGTATAATATGACCAACAAAAGAAAAAAAAAAAAAAAAAACTAACTGCTAAAACCCCAGGGTATAACTAAAAACTGGAAAAAGAAAAAGCTTTCAATTGTCGAGATTTTGAAAATTAATACAACACGAAGCAAACAATTGACGAAGGAAATGCAACGGCAACCATCTAAGGAAACATGAAGCAAACAATTCATGGTATGGGGAATTATCAAGTGCAAGAGAAAGAATATATGCCAACTACAGCAGTAGAAATATATAGCTGACATGCAAATAGAGATTATGAAACGTGCCTGAGGCTTGACTTCTACAATGAATTGCCCGCTCTTCACTGCAACAGGTTCATTTGCTAAAACGCTCTCTAGATGATCCAAAATCTCTTTTGCCTGAGCAAAACCAAACCCGGAATCTGCATCCTGATAATGCCAGACTAAAGCACTTTCCTTTCGTTCTATTTCAGAACCATCAGTAGCCTCAGTATATGATTTCATAACAGGTTCAGCGAGTTGCATCCATCCAAATTCAGAACTCTGGCCGTATGTTTCCCAATCTTCATGTTGTGGCCACCTGTGAAATTCTATGATTATAATACAGCAAATATTTACAACACAACTCGGGGTTGGGGAGTAGGGTATGACAGAGACCTAGTGAAGGGGCCAAATTACTAAATGCCTCACACATTTTAAGTGTAAAAGGCCTCTTATATTTTAAAAAGTCTAAATTACCCTCCTATTTCGTGGAGTATGTTTGTTTATCAAACTTCATAGAGATAAGTCTGTTAAGCAGACTGCAGTATGTTAACGAAGTCGGTTTAACAGGCTGTAGTCTGTTAACGACGGATTGTCGGCCTCAATGGGAAAAGAAAATGGAACACCTAACAATGTATCTTCCCCGACCAAGAACTACGAGATCACCCTAATTAAAGGGTGTGGGAAAATTTTGGTGTTGGCATAGCTTGTGCTGAGATGCAAAGTCCGGAGGACTAGATAGAGTAAAATCAGAAGGTGCTAACCAGTACAGGCTATAAAGGGTGGGACAACTGGTTCAAACCAAATATCCAATACACTTTCCTTAATGGCTACTCGCTTGCTTTTTTCAGCTTTCCTCGAGTAATTGTCTTGCTTAGCTCGTACTATTTATAAATAAAAATGAAGTTGAAACAATCAAAATATTATATGAATCTGAAAAAGGAAGATTTCTGACCACGAAAAATGTAATTTTTAAAATTTTCTTCATTGTGGAGAAGATCAATGATTATGCAGAGTTTTGGATGATTTCCAAATGGTGGAGAGAGAAGAGAAGTCTTGTGTGAGTTTATAAATTCTGTCTTATTTTTTAGATAAATTTTGGTCTTGCATAAATTAAACGGGTCATCGGCCATTTATCCATATTTCCTTCAAAAAAATATAACAACAAGAGCAAAAATTGATCCAAAAAATAAAGAGCAGAGCCTTTCCCACGTTTGACTAGATTTTTCATTGAAAACATGACATTTTTAGAAATACAAGAAAAACAACATCCAGAGTAGAAAAAGTTATAGGAGCATCGACACTAAGCAGCTCCAAAATGATAAAAAGCCTAGCCCCCGCCTCAAAATGCACCTTAATCCACCAGGAGTATATACTGAGGATTATAACACCATATATTAAAAATAGGATGTCATCACCACATATTAAAGGATATTATCACCATACATACTAATAATGCCTCGAAGCACTTTCATTCTCACCACATATTAAATAGGATAGGAGATACTCATATAGTAAAGCATAGAGCTGAAGGTATCCTAAGTTACAAGAACAGCACTTTAGTATGCCCAACTGAAGTCACAGTTACAAAGATCGGCCTCATTTGTGCAATGTTTCAAGACAATATTTTAAGAAGATATGAAAAGCTTGAAGGCCAGTTTTTCCTTTAGCAATGTTTTCTAAAGAGTACATCACAGTTGAACTACACTGAAACAGATAATTAGAATTTTATCATAGAAGTCCCCTGAGGTACATTAGATAGTATTTACAGATTGAAGTTTATCATTTAATTCAAGCAAAACCATTCTGGCATCATGCTCATAATAACTCATCTTATACCACATCAATGTCACAATCAGAAGCAACTTGTTAACTAGATATTCGAAATATAGCACCTAGGAAGGACGAACCATCCTAATGAGGTGGCATGTCTTAAACACTCCATGTGTCCAACACTCCATGTGGTGTGTTCTATTCTTATATATATTTTCTAAGTATCCAATACTTGACGGACACTTCCCAGACACACATCAGGAAAATGTTTGGAACCCCATATGGGGGGACATACTGTTCATATTCTTTGCAGTTCAAACACACGAGGAACATCAAGGACATACAAAAGTTATCTTAGTTTAACCCAAAAGTTATCTTAATGCAACAAATAGACACTCCTCTAATCCAAATTTCAATGGCTAGAGGTCCTACTTTTTGAACAACAACATGTCAGTGTGCCTTTTGTGTCATGTGTCTTTCTTTATATGGAAATTACCGAGCCAACATTGAGATAAAGTAAACAATAATTGACTGATGACCGGGAAGGGTAAAGAAACATTACCTCAAAAAGTACCCATGTTCCGCGGCAAGTCCCAGCTTCTTGCAAGGTGAAAACCACCTGCTCAAGCTTTCCCTCCCTCTTCCACTCACCATGAAAACAGTATTATTTGGATCTCCACAAAGTCTGTTCAAGATAGAGAGAATTTGTGAACTTGGAGTCTTGATAATAGAAGTTGGAGGCATCAATGTGCCATCATAATCCAAAAATATAGCCCTGCTTTTAGCACTACGGTAAGCTGCCACTATATCATCTACAGATAGCTTTCTAAAATTAGGATCTAAAGCCACCACTCGGAACCCAAAGCCTAGACCAATCCCCCAGCATCTTTTACTGAAATGGTCTGCACAAGTTCTCTCCATATCTTGCAAGAAGCTCCTTGACCAAAAAGCTACGTCGTGGGTTCTAAGATAACGATAATGCTTCTCGTGCCGCAACTCTTTTTCTGATTCAGCCATTGATATCGCCTCGTTAATTGCCTCAGCAGTTGTTTCAAAATTCCACGGATTAACACGAATTGCACCACTGAGGGAAGGAGAACACCCAATAAATTCGGATACAACTAGCATGCTTTTCTTGGGTCCACTCAGATTTGAACCAGTTTCTGCACCTGATACTCCTTGTCTGCAGACAGTGTATTCATAAGGAGTCAGATTCATCCCATCCCTCACAGCTGTAACCACAACACATTCGGCAATACTGTAATATGCCATTCTTTCACTTATTGATACAGGTCTATGAATAAAAACTATAGGCTCATATCCAGGCTTCCCAAATTCCTTATTGATTCTCTGGCAGCTCTCCTCTATTTCAACTTTTAATTCCTCCAAATGTCTTCCTTTCCCTCTAGCAGGATTGCAAATCTGCACCAGTATTACCCTTCCTTGCCAATTTGGATGCTGCTTGAGCATGTGCTCCATAGCTAAAAGCTTCAAATTGATACCTTTGAAAATGTCCATGTCATCAACTCCAAGTAAAACCGTTTTACCTTCAAACTGTTGCTGCAGCTGCTCGAACTTCTGCTCTTTATCTGCAAGTTCCATTGCTGATTCAATATGGCCCATATGTATCCCAACTGGCATAATCTTTATTCCAACTGTCCTTCCATAGTAATCTAGTCCTATATAACCCCTTTTTGATTGATATTCCAAGCCCAACATCCGACTGCAACAGGATAGGAAATGCCGAGCATAATCAAAGGTATGAAAGCCAATAAGGTCAGAGTTGAGTAGGGCCCTAAGGATTTCTTCTCTAACAGGAAGTGTCCTGTATATCTCAGATGATGGAAAAGGACTGTGAAGGAAAAAACCCATTCTCAATCGGACAAACCGCCTCCTCAAAAATGTGGGGAGCACCATCAAATGATAGTCGTGAATCCAAACAAAATCATCCTCAGGATTTAGCACCTCGACCACTTTCTGAGAAAACAGCCTATTTACGGACACATAGGCTTCCCACATTGAACGATCAAACCGACTTCCATGATTAGCTGAAAACGGCAACATGTAGTGGAAAAGTGGCCACAACTGCTTCTTGCAAAAGCCATCGTAATATTTTCCCAGAAGATTAGGTGGAAGAAAGGCAGGGACGCACTTGAATTTTTCCAAAATATAATTGGCTACGTCATCCTGTTCAATTGGATCGACATCAACAGGTAATGACCCAACATACAGCACCTCCATGTCTTCCGGAAAGCCATCCTTAACCCGCAAAAGCAATGAATCCTCATTCCAACTAAAATTCCACCCTTTATTGTCTGGCCTTCGCTTTGCTTTCAAAGGCAAAAGATTTGCTACAATAATCATTCTTTCACCAGAAACTGAAGATGGGTTTTCTGATGTAACACTATTAGTCTGGTCATCATCTAGCTCGAGTATACTCCCAGGGACTGTCATTACCCTAGGGAACCGCTTTCGCTCCTTCTCCTTGCCCATTACAGGGAAATTCCCAGACGCCAAATCCAGAAGATTGGTATAAGATCTTGACATCATTTTGCCAAAACTTCTCTTCTATTCCTCCTCCCGAAATTAAACACTCCCTCAAAATCTCAACACGAAACCCCAAAACCCAGAATTTGCTTGTTATCTTCAAATGGGAATTGTTCAAATGATCTGCGTCATAAGAAAAACCATGTTTTCACATTAGGCAACCACAATTCAATAGCCAAACCTAAACATCACATAAGATACAAAAATTCCTAATTAAAGTTCATGAAGTGAAAATAAAATAAATCAAAATTTATATTAATCAAACAGAAACCCAGGTACAGTAACTCCCTAGCCGATAAAAACATACGATGGTCCAAAACGAATCCCACTTACAAAAAATCCCAGCATCACAGAATTCCAATCGAAAAACGTATCCCAGAAATTGAAAACTGAAACTAACCTCTGAGATTGAATTGAGTGATAATCTTGACCCCTTCTGTGTAAAAGACTCGATCTTGAGAGTGAATTTGGGATAAGATTCTAGGGTTTCACACAAGCAAATGGAAAAGGAAATGCAATATGGGATGAATTAGTAATGGATATGAATATTCAAGAATTCATAAATGTATTATTTTTATTATGCAAGTCCGATAGAATAATAGCAGCATGTAAAACAAAACGTGCAACAAATAAAAGAATCTCTAAACTTACCCCGATGTTCTGGCTCAACCTCTGTCAACTTCACATCCCATTTAATATATAAGAAATTGTCAAGGTCCATCCAAGATATTAATATGACTCGATCGCAAATATCAATACTTACATGGTATCATTAAAATTAATTGGACTTGATTAGGGATTTTCTTACAAATATGTTGTCGCAAGTGTCACCGACGAATGCAAGTTACGTATTAAATTGTTTTGACAGCTAATGCCTCATAGTGGGTAATAGTTGTTCATATAATCCATATTTTCATTAATTGTGAGTATGTTAATGTGACTTGGTTAGAAATGTTCTTGCATGTATTATTTTCTATTAACTATGTATTGGAATTGTGGGATTTATAACGATTTAACAGGGTTAGTTATTTGCATAATCATTTTCACGATATCTTTACTATGATTTGGCTAGAAATTGTTTGCATCATCATTTTATATTATATGATCGAGTGTACGAGTTTTTGTAATAATATTGCAGTAGGTGGTTAATCTTCAATTTGAAAAAAAAGAAAATACCAATTGTTAGTTTGTTACAAGTTCACGTAACCAATGTTGAGTTCCTATGTAATCTAGCTCTTGTTTGAGTCACATTATTTTCATAATAATACATTTTTGTATAGTGTATTGATGGAAAATGTGTAGTTAAAAAATGAGGAAAATTTTTGAATTTACGTGTAATAGTATTTTATTGAAGAATGTGCGATTAAAATGATGTCAAGTCTCATTTTTTAATAATGTATTTTTTTTTTGAAAAAAATATGAGTCTATTTAAAAAATTTTGTATAAGTATTTTTATTTATTTTTGTTGTATTTTTTTTTTGAAAAAAATATGAGTCTATTTAAAAAATTTTGTATAAGTATTTTTATTTATTTTTGTTTGAGGCCCTTTTTTGAAAAAATGTATTTTCGAATGGTAAATTTTTGGAAAAATAAAAAATTTTCAATTTACATATAAAATTAATTTACGGGAAAATGTAATTTTTAAATGAGTTTTCGAAAAAAAAAATAGGGTCAAGCATTGTTCTACCAAGGTTTTCGGTGTATATGGGCATGGGTGAGTTTATCATTGCCCTTAAAAGAAAGCGGATAAGGTTTTGAACAAGCCGATCTGGAAGTGATCCAGCTGGCAGAAAACCACGCGCCTGGCACGTTACACTTACAGATGTGAACTCGTTGTACACATAAATGAAGCGCGTCTACGCTCCTCGAGACCGGCATGTACGGACCTGGTCCAAATGAACGTGGGCATGGCTGCCAGTTGGGCCTGTCGGCCTACTTTTAGCCCACGGCCCACCTTACCGCGTTAACTTTTTGTATTTAATGTGATTTTTTATTTAAAATAAATTATTTATTTCTTTCGAAGTAATTGACCACCATGTAGACAAAAAAAACTTCCATACTTGGGCAAAAAAATCAAAAAAGCGATCAAACCAATCAAATCGAACCGACTAGAGTCAATTTGGATCGGTTTGACACAGATAATTAATTTGGTTTGGTTTTCTTTTAAACAAAACAATGACTGGTTGGTTCGATAATGGTTTGAAGTCTCAAATCGTCGTTTAACCGATCATTCCAACCTAACCCAACCAACTCACATGTTTATCCTTTTTTTTCTTTCAAAAAAAATAAAAATCAAAAGATAAGCCATAATCTTATAACTATATCATGATTCTCTCCAATTTATAATGTTGCCGATAAGTAATAGTATTGAATATTTCCTTTCACAAGTTTATTATATTATAATTAGCATCTTTCCTACTCAAGCAGTCAGACTACATCTGCATAAAAAAGGTAACAAAATTCTTAAATTTTCGGTTGATCTATCTCTATTAACCTAATTTTATTTATTAGTGAATAATTCTTGTGGTATAAAGTTATTTAGCTATTTTAGTTTTGTAATATAATTGAGCCCAAAACTTGGACATTTTTTTATTTTTTAATATTCAATTTGAACTAAAAGTCCAAACCAATTAACCGAATCTATTTGGTTTGGTTTAATTTAAGAGTTAGAGTGAATTGGTTTGGATTGAAATTTACTCAAACAGACTAATTTGATTCTGGTTTCGGGTTGAAGTCGAAATCAATCCAAGCCAAACCTCGTCCAAACCTATCCATCACAACATCTTTTCATATTTTCCCACTTGCTACTCAAAAGCAAATTCTTATTGATTATTACGCTGTAGTGATTCTTCGTATGGAATTGATGAATTAGCCTCCATTTGATAAATTTTTGAATGGTTTATGAAGAGGAATCGTAACGAGTCTTTCGAAATACGTGAGAAACAATGAATAATAATTATGATTACATAATTAAAATTAATGTTTAACTTGATTGAATTTATAAATTATATATGAGATGAATATTCCCCGGGTATTTTTTTTATTTACGATAAATTTGGCGCAATAAATTAATGAATTATTTATTGCATTAAATTTTTAGTGATTAAATCACGTGTTGATTAAACAAATTAAAGTAAGGAGTATGCAAAGTAAGCCTAAACACGCCTCCATCTTTAACTACAAAGTCAGCTAATAAAAGAAAAAGAAAAAGAAAAAAAAAAAAATTGAAGAAAAAAACTTGCCAAGCTTTCCTCACAAGTCACTTTATTTGAACAGTCCCAATCTTTCTAGAATTTCTCACAAGTGGATAATACAAACTTTAGCCCGAAGAATCTTGCTACATACACACTATAGTGTATATTTTTATTTACACTTTACCACGTGACATTATCCTATTAAACAGTTTAAATTTCAAAAAGATTTTTCATCCAGTTAACACTTGACATAATACAAATGTCAAAAATCAGTGTACAAATAGCAAAGTTCTAGCCTGAAACCATCTCGGGGATCTCACATTGGTGGGAGAAATATAAGCGCACGGACAAAAACGGTCATTTTGAGTCCGATATGGATCTGCTAATCTCGGAAGATTATAGTTTGGGCTTAAAAATAGGTGGACTGGCCCATTATTAATAACGGTTGAGCCCAACTGAACAACACTTGACCAGTTCTGAATTGGATGTTCGATGGAGCTTAAAATGGGTCTTGTAGTTGTATGCAGCTCCAATCAAACAAGGACAAGACATGTTTTGCTACAAGTAGGGTTGGGCATTTTACATGTCAAACTGTAATTCCATGGTTTAGTAGGTCAATTTTCAGGCTGGCTTGGACTCCACCCGAAAATCTTGTTTGGTAATTGATTTTTTTTTTTTAAAATTTTTTTAGGGTATTTTGCCGACTGAACCAACTCAGGTTGGTTAGGGTCAATTTTTAACTAATGTAGGTTTGGTTCAAGTTGGAATTTCATCCAACCTAAAAGGTCGGTTTGGTAATTGAGTTCGTCCCGGACCCAACCGCCAACTACAAGGAAGTTAAACAAAATTTAGAAAGCGAAAGTAATTTAAATTAATTTAATTAAGACTACAGTTTTCGTATGATTATTTTATTATTAGAATAGTCGGACACCCACGGTCATTAAAATAAAAAATAAAAATGATTAGAATAGATTGTAGTAAGTTGTAACCATCCAAAGCATATCACTTGATTAGAAAATGCTAGCTAATCCCAAGTTAAAACAGCTTTTTAAGGACCTGAGGGCCAAGAACATTGACCTAGCCCAAAGGTTGGAGAAGGCCTCGTTCTACGGGGATGAGGTGAGGGGGGCTCGGGCCAAAGCATAAGAAGTCGAGAGTGCGAGGGTGGTGAAAGCTGAGGCCCGTCGAAGCAGCTGAAAAAAGAACTGTATGAAACTGAATGCCAAGTCGTTGCTCTGACGAGGCGGATCGATCATGCCAACAAACATGATCGCCTCGGAGTGGAGGCCGTTGATGCCTCAAACAAGGAGAAACCTGAGTTGAGGCAGTGGGTGGAGGCCTAAGTCAAAGAGATCAACTCTCTCATAACAGAGGCGAAAACCGTTATGGAGTCAGTCGTGCTGCACTTTATTGATCACTTCAAAGATCATGAGATGTATGATACCTTAGCCAATTATTGGGCCTCGTGGAACGTCCAAACTATGTTGTAATACCTTAGGGAGGTCCAACCGAACTTAGACATTTCAGCTTTGGAGGAAGAGTTTGATGGGCCTGCTGGGGATCGCCCTGACGTAGCTACTGCCGAGGAGGCTACAGCTGCTCCAAATGAGGCGGAAATGGGGAGGGGGCCATATTGCTAGTAGAGTAGGATTTCTTTTATATCTTGTAATGGCTTCAGCCCACTACTTGTAATTACTTTTGATATGAATGGAATGAAGAAAAATTGTTTGACCATGTTGTGACTTCTTACATCTATGTCGAACTGTTTGTAATTGCATTATCATGATTGGCTAAGCGCTTAAGTCAAAAACAAGCATTACTTACCAACAATAATCAGTCGAGGCACAAAATGATTAATCCATAAAGTATAATGATGAACTGGAGACTTTTCCGACCAACTCTCAAAACCCTACTCAAGTCTTGCGAATAGGAAAAACATTGCCTCCTGAGGTCAAAGAAGAACTAACGAATTTTCTAAAAAGAAACTTGGACGTCTTCGCATGGAGGTATGAAGATATGGTGGGAATAGACCGAAGGGTCAGCTGTCACCACTTAAACATCAACCCCACATACACACCGCATCGGCAGAAGAGGCGAGCCCTCAATCCAGAGAGATATGAGGCGCTCAAGGAAGAAGTTGACAAACTGTGTCGCAACGGCTTCATAATAGAAACCATTTATCTGAAGTGGATATCCAACCCAGTTCTTGTAAAGAAACCCAGTGGAAAGTGGAGGGTATGCGTTGATTTCACCAACTTGAATAGAGCTTCCCCAAAAGATAGATTCCCCCTCCCATGGATAGATTAACTTGTGGACTCCACTGTTGGACATGAACTCCTAAACTTCATGGATGCTTACTCGGGATATAACGAGATACCATGTTCCGATCTGATAAGGAGGCCACATCATTCATCACAGACTAGGGGATTGTACTGCTACA